GGCTAAGTTGCTCGGCCAGCAGGACGTGAGACATTGTGATAGGGTTGCTGGTGCTGGGAAGAGAACCACGGACCTTAGTTCGTACAACATCAGTTGGGGAAGGTTTGCTGTTGGTGGGGAGTGAATCTCATACTTTAGGTTGTACAACGTCAGTTGCATAACTGATATGTGGAGTATGTGCTTGAGATTCATCCCTGTGCTTCCCTGGTTGTGGGAGAGTGTTCGGCCGTAATGCTGCGGCCCGTGCTGTTTTTGCTGCTGTGTCTCTTTGATGTTCGAGCAACTCCACTTGGGCTTTATGCCGTATCACCTCCATCGTTATACGTAAATCTGCTTCTGCTACCGCTGCTTCTATCTCAGCTTCTACAGCTCGATCGGCATAACTTGCTGCTTTGGAGGCCTTAGATGTGCCGCTGCGACAGGAGGATGCTCTGGAAGGATGGTGAGAGCCAGCAACAGAGAATTGATGTGAGATGCTGGAAACTGCTTGAGATCTAACCGGCTTGGGATGGAGGGAGGAGGTTTTCTTTGAGTGGTGGGAAGAAGCTGCTTGTGATTGAAGACCTCTGTCAGATGTGGACTTCTCCCTCACCCCTTGTTCCTATTGAAGCGCATTGAAGATTGAGGCCTGGAGGGAGTTTCTGCCTTCCCGAATGCTGTCTTCGGGTTCTTTTTTCTCCTCCTTGAAGCAATGAATGTGTTCCCAGAACTCTGGGTCTTCCAGGTTTGATTGTATGTATTTAAGCTTGTTTTCACTGTCTCTCCACCGTGCGAGGTGCTCCTCTAACTCCTTCCTCTAACTCCTTCATCAGGAAGAGGCTCTCAAGGGGCAACATGCTTTTGGGGGTGTCACAGATCTTGAACAGCTCCATCCATGCATCATGCATGACAGAGATACTGCATTTCCCATTCCTCTCTGAAGTGTGTCACCGCGGGTGAGGTAAGCTTTCTATGCCATCTGAGGTTGTAAGTCTTCTGAGGTATCGCGGCTTCTCCAGAGGGTTGGACATCTAAAGGAGGGTTGGGAACCAGGTTCCACGTTTACAACAAGGATGGGTGGAGGATTCGAGTCTTGTGGTACATCAGAGACATCTGTCATGGCTGAGGAAGTTGCCATGCTTCAAGTTGGTAAAAGGTGACTTTTGGAGAATTTAGTGAGTTTCCGTGCAATTCTCTTTTTTTGTACTAGGGTGCGCTGCAAGCAGGTAGTAGAAAGTAGAATTGCTGCTGGATTTAACGCTTGAGCACATAGGTGGCACTGCAGAGTCTGGGCAATGCTAGCACAGCACACAGTATGGCTGTTTCTAGGGTGTGTTGTGAGCTTGCAACGTAAGGGGGCACTAGAGGTTGTGTTGCAAAGTCTGAAGACTAGAGGACTGAATGCAGAAATGTGCATAGCGGAGTCTGAAGACTTGAGGCCTGAATGCAGAAATATGCCTATTCTTGTCGCTTGCTCCACAAGGTGGCAGCAGAGGGTCTGGAAGACACTGTTGCTACGCCCATGTTAGGTTGCAGTTACTCTTGGGACCTTCGAATTAAATTGATTAAATTGTCCACAATAGTTGCAAAAAGGGATTGTCATTGGATAAACACTCTGGTCAAATTTGAGAAACTGTGTAAAAAAAATCAAACTCTGGGAAATTTCTCCTTGAGCCCCAGATGTAGCTGTGGGCTGCTTTGCTTAGGTCTGCTGGGTTGCAGTTAATCTTGGAACATTTGAATTAAATTGATTAAATTGTCCACAATAGTTTTAAAAAGGGATTATCAATGCAAACACGTATTGGAAAACTCAGGGAGATTTTTCTTTGAGCCCCAGATGTAGCAGTGGGCTGCTTTGCTTAGGTCTCACTTCCTTGTTGAAGAGAAAAAGAGGGGGGAAATTCCTTGCCCAACATCCAAGGGGCCTTTTAAAATACATGTTGCACAGATAAAGAGAAAAAGATCAAATTCCTTTGCTTGGGAGGAGAAAGGAAGTCACTGTAGGTTTTTTCAAGTGAAGGAATGCTTTCAGAATTTGTATAGAGTTTTGAAACAAAGGTGTCTGCCTCGTGGCAGGTCGTTTCTATGGTGACGAATGCAAGGTATCTTTATTGGTCACTTCCTGCTGAACATAGGAACAGAAAGAGATAGAAAAAAAGGCAAACCCTCTCCAACTGCTGAGAATTGTAGCTTCATCTGCATTTGAAAAAAAAAGTTTGTAGGTAGTAACTGGGGAGAAGCAGGGCAGATGGGTAAAGCCTGGCTCCACCCTTTGTTTTACAAATGGACTCTTCCCAGTTAGGAGTTGTAATTTGAGACACAGCACTTCTTTTGCTGAAGAGAAAAGGAGGGGGAATTTGTCCCTTCCTGGCTTGATACAAAGACAAAGGAATCCAGCCTCAGTAGAGTAAGAAAAGAAAAAAAGGATTGAAGGAGACAAATTTGATTGCCTTTGAAAGCCGGAGCATAGGATATTTGAAGAGTCTCTTGCATAAAAGGGGAAGGGGGGAATTCTTGCCCCTCCCTGCAATAGAAACTGAGGCACAGAGCTTAGCATTCTACATTCACTCCTAGCTTCAACATTACGTTGCTTTTTCACAAATCCAAATTAACAGTCTTTATACTAATGGGCTTCAGGACTTCAAATTTTAAATCATCTTTTTACTTTTTAATCCTCTTTTGGCATCAGGAATTCAAATTAAGCAATCCTTTTACTTTTCTTGGGCTTCAGGAATACAAAAACCATCTTTTACTTTTCTGTATTCTGCACAGTAGTGGATTTTTAAACTGTGCAGATGCAGATAGATAAACTCAACAAGACGTCCATAACAAAGTACATTTATTGGTTCATCAGGTATCCTCATAACTCACATTTGTGATGAAGTTCTCCTTCAATGACCAATCCTTTGCATAGCTGCTTTGTAGGTAAAAGATGGTTATCTCCTAACCCATCTTGTAGCGATAGAAAGCATGAGTTACTGAATTCAGGCAAAAGTGAGGAAAACTCCCGCAACCCATCAAGGGTCAAATTAGTGGCCAATCGGGATTACAGATGTGGCCACATGACATGAACTACATTTACCATGATGCATTCCCTTAAGGGGACAGTTCATAATTCCTAAGTAACTATCCATAGACTGGCTGGGACAGCACATACAGGGAGAGGGGGAGAGAGAGATACAAAGAGAGAGTTACAGAGAGAGAGAGACAGAGAGGGGGAGAGAGAGAAACATAGACACAAAGAGAGAGACACAGAGAGGGGGAGAGCGAGTGGGAGGGAGAGAGAGAGACATAGAGAGATATAGTGAGAGGGGGAGAGAGATGTCAAAAGGGTTTTGTGTCTCCCATTCTCTGCCCTAATGACAGGCTGGGTGGGCATGGCTAGGGTGTCATCTGACTGAGTGGGAGTGAGTGACATTGAGTTGGCCACATCTATCCAAGTTTTGTGGCTCCTGGTGTTTTCTGTTTTGTGGGAAATGGGTCCAAATGGCTGTTTGAGTGTTTAAGCTTGCAGCCCCCTGCCCTAGATGATAGGCTCAAGATCCAGATGGATCTCAACAGACTAGAACACTGGGCCCTATCTAACAAAATGAAATTCAATGTAGAGAAAAATAAAGTCTTATACTTAGGCAAGAAAAACCAAAAGTACACGCTGGATGAAACCAGGCTCAATAACAGTAAGTGTGAGAGGAATCTTGGAGTCTTAGTGGACAACCAATTAATATGAACCAACAGTATGAGGCAGCAGCCAAAAAAGCCAATACAATCCTAAGTTAACAGAGGGATGCAATCAAGATCAAATGCGGTACTAATACTACTCTATAAAGCCTTAGTAAGACCATACTTACAATACTGCATCCAGTTTTGGTCACCACACTACAAAAAAGATGTTGAGATTCTAGAAAGAGTGCAGAGAAGAGCAGCAAGGATGATTGGGGACTGGAAACTAAAACATATGATGAATGATTGCAGGGATTGGGCATGACTAGTCCAGTGAAGAGGGGAGACATGATAGCAGTGTTCCAATATTTGAGGGGCTGCCACAGAGAGGAAGAGGTCAAGCTATTTTCCAAAGCAACTGAAGGCCAGACAAGGAATAATGGATGGAAACTGAACAAGGAGAGATTTAACCTGGAAATAAGGAAAATTTTTCTGACAGTGAGAACAATCAACCCATGGAACAGCTTGCCTTCAGAAGTTGTGGGAATTTCATTACTGGAAGCTTTCAAGAAGAGACTGTACTGCCATCTATCAGAAATGGTATAGGGTCTCCTCCTTGGGCAGGGCTTGGACTAGATGACCTATAAAGTTCCTTCCTATTCTGTTAATCTGTTAATCATAACGATGGTTAGTAACATTTTAAAAACTAAACTGTAATTTTAAATAAAAGAGAAAACGAGAACTTTAAAATATGCAAACATTAAAATGTTGATTATACAAGACAAATCACAAAATGATAGTGTAAAAATGTTCATTGCCTTAATGATTGTGCAGATAGGATTAGAAAATCGCTCTGTTTCAGGTGTTTTATCTATCTATCTATCATCTATCTATCTATCTATCTATCTATCTATCTATCTATCTATCTATCTATCATCTATCTATCTATCTATCTATCTAACAACTATCATCTATCTATCTTAATCTCTATCTATCTATAATCTATCCTATCTATCTATCTATCAATCGTTAGATTTATATCCTATCTTTTGGACAGAAATGTAAGTTGGCATACTCCCTACTCCTATTGGTCTCCACAATGGCCAACCTATGTGGTAGGATGGACAGAGATATATCAACTGGCTCAAGTCCACCAGTGAGCTTCTTAGCTCAAGATGGACTAAAACTTGCATTTCCCTACCCTTCCCTTTTGTTACAGTTGATCCCCAATTAACATTCCTAACATCTCCATTTACAGGGTCTTATGAAAAAAAGTGCTATAAAGGATATCATATCAGGTTTCGGTGAAAGTTGAATAAAGCTTATTAGCATTTACATCACATTTGTTGTTTTCTCAACAGCCTTCATATGGAGAATTTGATATTAGTGGTAATGTGCTAGGTTTGGTCTTCAATCAAGGAATGATCTGGTAAGATACTCTAGCATGTTAATATTGTTAGCCAGAGAAAATGTTAACAGTATTTTTTATATCTTCACTGAACTGAAGGAAAATTGCTATATATTCCATTTTTGTACTTTTTCAGTGTTGCTGGAATGTTCCATATTTTTTCAAGACATTTTAAGTAGAACTAGGACATCTCACAGAATTTTATGATTTTTTTCATTTGAATTCATCTTTTTTCAGAAGCTGTGGGATCCCATGGGATTTTAATATGCATATTAAATTGTTTCCTTTCAAGAAAACAGATTAAGTTTTCATGGGTTGCATAACTGCCATGAAGCTGATTTAGTTATATTATCCCCCCACACTGGAGTGTGGCAAATTCCATTCTAATTCTATTTTTATTGGTTAGGAAGAAAGTGGGAGATATCTTCCACACATATCTTTTTCACTGTAATAGTGAGATCATTACACAATGAGATTTAGATTTTCATTCCCTTTTCCCTTTTATAAGATTGGAAGACAAGTTGGAGAGACAACCCATAGAATTCAAGGTATTCTAATAGACCTATCAGTAACTTTTGAAATAAATGATCATTGTATCCATCAGAACTGAATATTGGGGAGCACTGCCTTAAACTAGTTTTGCTCCTATTTGACATACATTTTCCGGGGGTAATTTATAGCTTTGCTTTGTAGTGACTAACTGATGGCAATTCTGAGACCACAATGTTAATTCCCATAGTATTTACAGTCTAAACTAGATATAATCCCTGAAAATGATCATCTGAAGTTGTGGGCTGACATAAGATATAGTATTCAAGCTTATTTTGTTTTTGTTTTTTATACCAGTAGAACATAGAAGAGGCAATAAATGTCCTGAATCAGCATCTGGGGGAAAAAGCCTAGCAAATTCATGGTCTCTGGCAATTTCACAGTGCTAACTGCATTGATTCACTCACCTTCTACATAATTAATTGTATTTAGGAAGTGGCCCTATTTCTCTCTTTCATGGCACTTTATAGAATGGCAATGATGTCAGATCGGCAAGACTATTGAATAAGCGAATTGCTTTCCTTTTCTGCCACTGCTCAATGGACTGATGAGAAAGCATTTTTTTACAATCCAAAAAGCATTTTAATAAAAATTGACATTACAGTGAAGACACTATATAGGTAAAAGACCTATATTTTGATTTACTATATCTGGTTGATATGTATTATGGATACCTTTTTGAAAACAGGCAATATCAGTCATCATAAAAACATTTTTTTATATTTCTCTTTCCTTCTACCCTCCTCTTCATGCTCCCCTGCCCCAACTTATAGGATGGGATCCTTTTATGCCCCAGGACTTGTGGGGATCAACGTATTACGTTTATTAATCTCCATGTATTTCCAGACCTGGGCTGTTATGAGCAGCAATGTCCCCCATGAACGAGTGTTCAAAGCTTCTAAATCCAATAATTTTTACATGGGACTCTTGCTGTTGATTTTGTTCCTTAGTGTGTTACCAGTTGCATATACAATAATGTCTCTGCCTCCTTCCTTTGACTGTGGACCATTCAGGTACCGAAATAATTTCTTTCTGATTCTTTTACTTGTATGTTATTTTTCACTGATAAGCCAAACTCTCAGGAAAAAGAAATACAAATTATGCAAATATAAATTTATATAAATTCCATATACTGCAATAGCAATTATAACAAATATTCATGAAATATTTATGTAGTTATCTGAACTGATTAATCAAAAATCAATAAATAGATACTAAAATAAAAAAAATAAAATAATAATTCAAAATCATTTGTACACACTGTAATTTGTCTCTCTCATATGAATATCAAAAATCAAAGTAGATTGACGTATAATAAATTACTTAGATGTAAATAACTAAGATACTTCATAATATATCAACTAATTGTTTTGTAACTAGAGAAAACAGAAGTATTTGTTTTAATAATTTAATAATTTAAGAAGCTTCTTTCAAGTTTGCACATTAACAGCCAAGGCTGACCACATCATCCATGTGGCTAATGGAATTGGTTTATTAAAAAAACAAATACGGTATATTGCTAAGTTAATAGGAACATTTTGTCCAGATATCAGGAAATAATAAGTTTGCTCTAATTTTTATCAAATTGCCTTTTTACATTGTGTTTTCACCAATTTCTGTTAGGCTATTAAAGTGAAATTGTTGCACTTCTAAAGTATTTATTTGTTTGTTTGTGTGTTTATTTATTTATATCCTGCCTTTATTATTTTTTACAAATAATTCAAATCTGCTAAAATACCCACATATCCTTTTATTTTTCTCTACAACATCCCTATGAAATAATGTGGAATGAGAAAGAGTGACTGGCCCAATGTCACCCAGCTGACTTTCATGGCTAAGGCGAGACTAGAACTCATGGTCTCCCATTTTCTATCCTAGTGCCTTTGACATTAGATCTCGCATTACTGTGCTGGGCTGTCAGTAATATTTGCCTGCCTGCCTTGTTCAGTCTGCTGTCCCTTTATAAGCTACTCAAATCCTGGTGCAGCAAGATTTTCAGGACAAGAAACATCTTTTGGGGGGGGAATCAAGGGCTCTGATATTCTCTGAAGGATATTCTAGCACTGTCTCCAGATTTTGGCACGTATATCGTCGGGAGTTCAAGAAATTTCAACAGGGAATTAAGAGAGGAACCTATATTTCTGATAAAGCTGCATTCCTGAAGTGACAATTCTTACAGATAAATTTGGGGATCACTTATTTGGAGATAGATGTAGCATACTCTATTGGAGGAAATGAAAATGATAAGAACAAAGATTTGAAAATCCAGAGTTTGGATAATATGGTTTGAACTTGCTCAGTGACTGCAGAACAAATTATTGGTGGATCAGATAGAACATCTGGTTTTGTAAAGAAAAAATGTTATTTTGAACAAGAGCATTGCTATGTTTAAGCTAAGAGGTAAAAATATAATGGTTCAACATATAACCAAAACTATCAGGGTGAGTTATAAAAACAAAAGTATGTTTTCAAAGCATTATTTGAAACTTCCTTACTCAGTCACAATAAATTATTATGAATGTAAAAAGCAGAATAATAGAAGCTGAGTATGTACCAGCACTACTGTATTAACAATTTTTGTGCTTCCATTGTGAATCAGTTTCTCTCAAATGGATCTCTAGGCCAGATTAATAAGCCAGTGACCCCCTAATTTGATTTAATAACTCTTTCATGCTGCACTACAGATACTGACTCAGTATGGAACCAGCTCAGAACAAACTGTTGTTTCTATTTTTCTCTTGTTAATATGAACCGTAGCAGCAATATCTTTTGATGAAGGAAGAATTTATATTAAGTTTCTTTGGATTACATTAGACATGTTGTCTTGACCTTTAAAATTCCATTTAGAACATATCTTCCATTAAAAAAGTTGATGGCATATAATCAATTAGTAACTTTATTAAACATTAAATACTTATTGCATATTAAATGGTTGGTAATAACATGCAATCAGACCTTCACATCCTGACTTTCCGGTTGTATTGGGACTACAACTTCCAGAATTGTAATTGATACAAATGCTGGCTGGGAAGTCTTATAGTCAGAATTCACGAGAGTGATAACAAATTGGAGAAAGCAATGTATATGCAATGTAACGATGTTGTATTTATTGTTGTTTAAATCCAGTTTATACTGAGCATTAACAATAACATAAATTGAGAATTAAGCAGTTTCCTATGCAGATAATCCTCAACTTACAAACACAATTGAGCCCAAAATTGATATTGATAAGTGAGACATTTATTGAGTTTTGCCCCATTTTACTACCTTTCTTACCAGTTGCACCACAGACTCATTCCAATTGTTAAGGTAGTAACACAATTGTTAAGTGAATCTGGCTTCCCCACTGATTTTGTTTGTCAGAAGGTTGAAAAAGGTGATCAACTGCAATCGTCATAAATATTGACAATAATAATATTTGACAAGCATTCGAATTTTGATTGTATGACCATTGGGTTGCTGCAATGGTCATAAGTGTGAAAACAGTCCTAAGTCACTTTTTTCAGTGCTGTACCATTGAACAGTCATTAAATGAACTGTTGTAAGTTGAGGATTACCTGTAACATCAAATTTTAAAAAGAACATATTTTGCTGTTGTTTTCAAAATGTGTCATGAGATTGTTATTATTTTTTATGTATCTTAAATTTGCAAATTCAAAAATAAAAGAAGAGAAATATATTCAACTATTTCTTTAAAAATAAGAAATATTCAAATAGTATATTCTGAAAATATATTGCATGAAGACTTTTTTGTATGTCCTCTCTGAAGTTTGATTCTTGTCATTATACAGTCCTGTCCATTATTTATTTCTTCTTCCAGTGGAAAAAAGAAAATGTACGATGTTATCCAAGAGACCATCAAATATGATTTCCCACCTCTTGTAGCCAATGTCTTAGGTTATTTGGCAAATCCAGGACTAATTATAACCGCAGGGTTGCTTATGATGTAAGTTGCATTGACTGAGATTTTGGGGTGGGAGGAATTGGAGTCTTAATATATAAGAATATATTAATAGGTTATCAATTAAAATTTGTCATGAATTTTAAAAAATGTGTGCTGCATATGACAGCAAATAAAGCAAAATCCTTGTAAATAGATTATGCAACTTTTCCAAAATTCTTAATCTGCCAACTCCCAAATCCCTCTTCATGAATCCATTATACAAATTGTTGCTTCCAGTGCGATTAGCAAATTGATTAGCAATTTATCTACATTTAGTACCGACTGCATTCTTGAGATGAGAATCTTAGGAATACATTGTTCCCATTCTCTTGAACTTGGTTGTGAATGAATCTGATTCATTATCTAGTAATTCTATTTAACTTTAGAATAGATGCATTATTTATAACAGGTTTCAGTAATTATTGAAATAAAACTAAATTTAGAATTTAACCTACCATTTAAAATGAACTTTCAAATAGTAAATGATTTCTCATAAAACCCCTCTGAGGAGACTTTATGAGCAGGGTATATATTTTTAAGATGACTAGGTTAGCTTAAACAAAGTGGGAGTGCTTTTAAAGTGATTTCATTCTGCCTGGACAACTTCACTGCTTTTGTCTGTACAAGCCAATCAGGAACACTTGAAAACTCATTCCTATTTTGCATGGGCTTCAGTAAAAATGTAGATCTCTAAAAATGGCCAAACCCACAGGTTTAAGCTTCTGCCAACTGGTGATTTTCAGGATAGTATGTAGATGTATGTATTCATCACTGAATCAGAAGAAGTATATGGGTTAGTGAAGATCAATGTCTTTATCTACTATTTTAAACTATTAACATAATGGAAAAGTTAAATAGTTTAGAAGTGAAAGAGCTTGATAATTAAAAGTAAACCTAAGTCAAAGAATTATCTTATGTCATAACCTCTTAAAAGCAGCTTCTTTCTGAACCAGCTCTGATTTTATTCATAAGAGGAGTAACACAGATTTCGTTCTCATATAAGATTCTGGATATCACAAAGTTTGAGAATGCTTCTGTGCTTTAGTATATTCTTAAAGTCCTATAAGGTATCCTAGAATTTTTTTTTTAATTTGAAATTTGATTTTACAGTCTTGCCATATATTACCTAAATGCTGTGGCTGAAGGATACAAACATGCCAATGCAGAGCTGAAAAAGAAAATGCAAATGGTATTTAGATTTGTTTACATTTCATGTTAGTTTAAATGTAAAAATAATCACATTTGCATTATTTGAATATAGACAACTATTTCATTTTTTCAACAATATAGTTGAAAAAGTCATGTGTTCATTCATATGCTAATTGAGATATCTTATGTTCTAATTATTTTCCTCTTAAAATTTTATTTATTTATTTGATTTGTCAATCGCTTACAAGATAATAGATATTAAGTATAAACATGAGTAAGAATACAGGAAATAGGTACAAATAAATGGTGACAACAGGACAGGGACGGTAAGCACGATGGTGCACTTATGCACACCCCTTACAGACCTCTTAGGAATGGGGTGAGATCAATAGGAGTGGGGGGGGGGGTGTAGAGGATGTAACAACAGAGTCAGGTAGTGCATTTCAGGCATTGGCCACTCTATTGCTGAAGTTGTAATTTCTGCAATCAAGTTTGAAGCGGTTTACATTGAGTTTGTATCTGTTGTGTGCTCTTGTATTGCTGTGGTTGAAGCTGAAGTAGTAATTGACTGGTAGGACATTGTAGCAGATAATTTTGTGTGCTACACTTAAGCCTAACCGTAGGCGGAGTAGTTCAAGGTTGTCCAAGCCCAAAATCTCAAGCCTGGTGATATAGGGTATTCTGTTGCAAGCAGAGGAGTGTAGTACTCTTCTCATGAAATACTTCTGGACTCGCTTGATTGTATTAATGTCTGATATGCAGTGCGGATTCCAGACTCATGAGCTGTATTTGAGTATTGGTCTGGCAAAAGTTTTGTATGCTCTAGTTAGCAATTAGATATTTCCGGAGGCAAGCTTTGTAAGATTAGATTTACAACTCTTAATGCCTTTTTGGCAATGCTGTTACAGTGAGCTCTGGTGCTTAGGTCATTTGATATGAGAACTCCAAGGTCCTTGACAGAGTGAGGATCATCAACAAGGTCATATCCACCTAGTTTGTATTTGGTGTACTGATTTTTTTTACCAATGTGTAGGACAGAGCATTTTTGGTCAAGATTTGGAGTTGCCAGATGTTTGATCATTCAGACAAGGTTGCTTTGAAGGATAATAGCATTGTCAGTGGTGTTGAATAGTTTTACGTCATCCACAAAGAGAACGCAGTTGCTTATAAGGTGATCGCAAAGGTCATGTATATAGAGTATAAAGAGTGTGGGTCCTAGAACGCTGCCTTGGGGGACACCGCTGTTAACTGGAGCATGGTTTGATATAGCACTCCCTATTTTTACTATTTGTGGGTCCTAAAATGCTGCCTTGGGGGACACAGCTGTTAACTGGAGCATGGTTTGATATAGCGCTATTTTTACTATTTGTTGCCTGTTTGACAGGAACACAATAACCCACTTATGGAGGGATCCGGAAATGCCATAAGAGTTTAGTTTTAAAGTACTTTGTCATGTACCACTGAATCAAAGGTTTTGCAGAAGTCTATGTAAATTATGTCTATTGCTTTACTCTGGTCAAGTAGAGTAGTCCATATGCAGTGTAGGAATTGTAGATTACAGGACAATTTTTTTCCTGAAACCAAATTGTTTTTTGGAGAGTAGATTGTTTGACTCTAAATGGAGAGTGATGAATTGGTTAATGATTGATTCCATGACTTCGCACATGACACAACCCAGTGAGATTGGTCTGTAGTTTTCAACCAGGCTGGGGTCACCTTTTTTGAAGATAGGGATGACCATAGCTAAGGACCATTGGTTTGGTAAGGAGCTGGTTCTGAATGATACCTCATATATAATGCTTAGGGGTTCCGCTATGGCAGAGAAGAGCTTTTTAAAGAAGTAGGTGCCTCTTCTACGTTATCTTCTGTAAAGTCAATATGTAGAAGGTCATTACAGTTAGTTGTGGTATGACTAGGAAATGTGGGGCATGAACCATTGCTGTTTATAAAGACTGAACTTAAGAATGTGTTGAAGAGATTGGCCTTAACAGCTTCATCATTGCAGCTTCATCATCTTTCCCATTTGGTCCTTTTAGGGGTGGGATGGTTCTTGATTCTTTAAGTTTGGTGTTAACAAAATTGTAGAAGGCGTGGGTAGATTTTGTACATAGGTGGTTTCCTCTTGCTTGCAGTGGTAATTTGTGCATTCTGCCTTTATCTGTCAGCATAGGGTGTTGTATTGGTTTTTAAAGTTTGCTACGTAGCTAGTTTTGTTTTTACGCCATAGCGATCTTTTTTTTAATTGAAGTTTCCTTATTGTTATGGGTAATTTGTTTTTTTTTTGTTTTTTGCTTTTGTTTTGGAGGCCACTAATGGTACATATCGTTTAATGACTCTTTCAAGTTCAAACAAGAATGCATTATAATGGTGTTCTGTGGTATTACAGCTAGAGAACAGAATGTTCCAATCAAGAGATGATAGGTCAGCATCTATGAGATCATAGTTGGCTTTTTTGAAGTTATATTTTGGGGATCCATCATTATGATCTTCTTTGTGAGGGTGTAAATTGAGACAAAAGTCTATCATATTGTGGTCACTGTTTGAAAAGGGTTCTTGAATTTGTAGGCAATATATTGAGTTTGAGCTGTTGCAGAAGATAAGGTCAAGGCAATTATTGAGTCTAGTGTTGTTAGTTACTAATTGATCCAGTCCCAGTGTAGTAACAACATTATACAGGGTTGCATGTATGGGTTTGGATGTACATTCATTTAGTCTCCAATTTATAAGAGGTAGATTGAAGTCACCAAGGAAAATAAGAGGGTGAGAGCAAGAGGCACCCCCATGTTAACAGTGAAGTTAGCTTGTTTGCATGAACTATGTCATAATCCAGCGCTCTGTAGCATAGTAAGAAGCGGATTGTGGCATTTGAGGACAGTTCACAGACAATGGTCTCTGGGAGAGCAAGTTCCTGTGTAATTTGAATCTTTTTTTATATTTAGGGATTTTTTGTAGAAGATAGCAACTCCACCTCCTCTACAGATTTCACAATCTGATCGATATACATGATATTTGCTGACTGTGGTAATGGAGTCTGGAAAAGATGCATTTAACCATGTCTCACTGACAAATATAATGTCGAATGTGGTCGTGCCTAATAAGATGAGGAATTCATGCATTTTGTTTGCGAGGCTTCTTGCATTGAGTAGTTTGCATTTTAGTGGGTCTGGAGGAAATAAGAGGCGTGCATGCCTAATGTTGGATGTTGGGGTGATGGTTAATGGGATGTAAGTTGAAGGTCTTGCTTTTGATATGAGGTAGTCAATGTATAGGTTAGTATTTCCTTGCTCAAGTCTTTTGAGCTCTCAAAATCACAGCAGTTTCTCCAGAAATGATTTTTTAAAAAGATGTAATGCATTCATGCATGAATACCTATAAAAGATTGGATTTTATTTTTAATATGCCTCTTACTTTACACATGAAACATGGATTATTTTTTTATCACTCTGAACATATAAATCTACTTAGGACCAAGACATTTAGAGTAAACTCTATAATTGAGTTTAGTATGTAACCTACCATTTAAACATTGACCAGATGAAAGTAATATGACTATTAAACAATGGGGATGAATGGAAAAATCTCTACAATTTATTGTGCTCACTATTGTGTTTCTTATTTTAATTTTTCTATAGACAAAACAAGAAAAATACAAGTTAAAACTCAATTAAATAAATATGTTCAAATTACAATACATATAGAATACATTTCATATGATTATGTATTATAGGACGTCTGAAATTAAATGTCAAATGTACCAAATAGCAAATGGATAAAGAAAATTCTTACCAAATACTCCTGTCTACTTCCTCATATCATGTTAGACTAGATTGTCCTGTTTTAGCCTGTGTATTTTCAAAATTATAGTATAAATTATAATTTCAGACTAATATGATATTGAATGAAAGATCAAAGATAAATTCCGATACAGCTCCATTTCAGCCAGTTTGGTCTAATGCTTAAAGCAACAGGGTAGACACCAAGAGACTCTGAGTCTTACCACAGACATGAAAGCTGGCTGGGTGATTTTGGCCCAGTCATTCTCTCTCAGCCAAGTTGCCTCACAGAGTTGTTGCTGTAGAGAAAATAATAAGAAGGAATATTAGATATGTTCAATGTTTGAGTTATTTATAAAAATAATAAAGATGGGATTAAAAAATTATCAATTGTCAGTTTTGTTCTAATTTTAAATTACATTATCCACATAAAAGTTCCATCTAAAATCTCAATTTTGACTAAATTAGATATTATGGTTCTTCTTTCCAAATAAAGCAGGTATTTCATGGCATTTTTTTTGTACAGAAACGTGAAGATGATAAAAATGAGAATAAGCTTTTTGCCAATTCTGCAATGCAAGAACTAGAAGACTTGCTTATTCCATATGCAAAAAACATGGAAGGACCCAATGCAGCTAAAGGTAAAGATAATGTCCAGTGTTCAAACATATATTGCTTTGAGTGAGTTAACATAATAGGACAACTTTAATTCCTCTACCATTTGCAGAGTGTTGTCCTCCTTAAAGACCAAATGTGCCGTTGTTTAATCTCAAGGTCATCTTATACATCTACAGAGATGGCCATCACAATGCTCATATCACTTTTCAATTAATTATTCTAAGCCAGTAGAATAATAATCAAAAATCAACATTTAATATTATGCCATGGTTTACAGCTTATCTTGTAAGGTTCAGCAAAATACTCTAAATCAGCCTTGTGTTCTGAAGGTGCAAGCACCACCTCTTCCATACACTTCTCATATCAGTGCATATAAAAAAGAGATGCTGCTTGTATAAGCATGACTGTTATTCCTTTTGACCCAAAGACATCTCTGTTTAAGGCTGAATAGTACTGTATATACTTAATTGTTGCTTGATAAAAAATAAAAAAAAATCAGATGTATTTATGTTCTAGATGCTCAATCTTATCAGTTAGCTAACAGAAATCTTTAAAACTATTAGCTACTAAGCCATGTGCCTTACTAAAGTTAATAATCGTTAATTTGGTCTTGCCTTAGGGTACATTTGATTTACAAACATTCACAAAGTATCAGACACCATATATAGAAAATGATAATTCTTGACTGCTACCTAGTGGTCACTTTTTATCTCAGCTTTATTAACTATAATACCAACAATTTTAGTGCAATAATGCTTTTTCTTTTAAACCAAGATAAGCCTATGTCACCAAGCTATAAAAACCATTCTCCAGAGAAAGAGACAAATTCAAATCCTACGAAAAGAGTACTGTTGTCATCCTCATCTTCTGTGATAGTGACCCAGCCACTTACTCCAAGAAGAGGTGTCTCTAGTCAACTAAAACCAAGATCTTATCCAAGGCAGCCTTATCCAGGAATTGGAGGAGGGGAACCTAGTAACAATGGCACAGAAGTAGTAATGATATCTACTACATCATGAGCATAATCGGTGGTTATTTTACAAAATTGTCCCAGTTTAGAAATTTAAGAGCTTCAACTATCTTGGAAGAGTAAATAAAAGTTCCTATTTGGGGATGTAATGTTTTTGCCAAATTTCAAAGTTCACTGGTTTCTCCTTATATACACCTTCATTTATTGCTATCTGGCACACAAATAGAGTTTACCTAAGCTGTAACACAATAGCTAGAAATGGCAGCCTGGAAGGAGAAAAGTCCAGACCTAGCAGTGTTGACAGGACTCCATGTATCTAGAATCTACAATCATAACTATAAAACTGTTTTAAAAGTAAATAAGATAAACAAAGTTTTGACAAAGGTGTATTGCCATCCTAGCATGGCAATAAGGAGATATATGGTGTCTTTCTCCTTTCCTAATGGGATCTGGCTGGTAGAACTTTACTCCATTTCTGGTAACCAAGTAGCCAGCAATGTTTGAAAGCTCCCTTTTACTTCTATTCCATAGAAAAGCTTTCCATAACTAGCTTACATGTTTATAAATTTTGTTAACATGGAAAATACATTATATACATTGTTGTTTTAAATAAAATTTTGTAATATCAAATATATTAATTTCAATTTCTAATCATAATTGGAAACAATACAGCTTTTTTCACATGTGCAATAGTAGCACTTCTTTCAATTCACTTACAATTTTCCTTGCTTTTGTAAAGGATTGTTTTCTCTATATTATATAGCATCTATGACTCGTTTCCAGTACATCCCCAGGGAACTGGGGAACAATACATAGTAAAATCATAATAGTTTAGAGCAGACTTGGGCATGTTATGGTCCTTGGGCCACATCCATCATGAGGTCAACTGAAAACAAGAAATCAAATTTAAGTAAGTGTGCCTCAGGGGGCAGAAAAAGCAGCAAGTCCAACTGGCTCAAAAGTCACTGTGCTCCTCCACTCAGCTGGCAGTAACTGAAGAGCAAGGAGAAAAAGTGCATTTTTTGTACCTGCGCAGTTTTACCCCTTGTCTGGAGCTCTTGAGTTGAAACAGCCCCAGTCCCTCATGTGGCCTATTTATATAATATAGTTAGTTGTATGTATATAGAAAGCTAGTAATGCAGCCCCACAAGATAATACAAAATATAAAAAGGAAACTTTTTTGTATTTTGTATTATCTTGTGGGGCTGCATTACTAGCTTTTCAGGGCTGCATGTAGCCCAGTTTGGTCATGTCAGATTTAGGTTATGAAGCATTACAACTATTTCTAAGACTATTGCTAGCTATCCTTACATTTGAAGTTATATTATCGATCTCATAGCAGCTGTTATTAGTTTAGAAAATAAAATATCAGAGAACTTGTATTGTTTTTCTTCCGTAAGTAGCTTTTATTCAAAAAGGAGTGCCTGTGTTCATCTCTCTTGAATGCAAGTTAATTAACATCCCATTAAGGCTTACTAAACATTCTAGTAAAGCAAAAAAAAAATGTGTTGTGATTTTTAGAAAGGAGGCATGCAAGTGGTATTAAGTTCAAAAATAAAATCATTCAATAATGAAAGCTTTGCTGCAGTATTTTTTCTAAGTGATAAAACTGTTGGAATGTGCTTTGTTTTGAGTTCAGAACATTCATGTTGTTTTCTACAACTGTGTACTTAGAATTAGGACATCTGAAACAGCTTAAGATTTGGAGACCTTAACAAACAAGTTTTGTTCTGATATTAAATGAATTCTGCACATGAAACATTCTGTACATCTTTTTAGCCAAATAGCTATCACAAGTTTACAGAAATCCTAGATTAACCAGAACATAATATTCTAAAGTCAACTACTAAATGCTTTATTCTATCTAAAACATAACAAAGGTAGCAGGGCAAAATGTTTTCCTTGTTCCCAAACTATTTTAGAATATTGCTTTTTTAAAGTGTTGTTTCCCAGCTAGTTTAATTCTGACAGAATGTTATTCCTTGAATGTCAGATAAAGCTAACTCTTTAACATGTGATTCAAAACTTTTTACAAATACAGCCCACCTTTGGAATTATTCTATAAGAGACTTTAATGACAAATCATCTTTAACTAGCTTGACTTATTTAGTAACCTTGTAAAGTGTGAATTTCAAACTTGTGTAATGTAGCAGAATTTGAGATGTTCAGCCAGCAAGTCTTTACAGAGACCCCATATTAAGGCTTGTCCCATTCACAAATCCCACCTGTGTCTTCTGTACCAAAGAAGAAAAAAGCACTCCCTTTTTCTCAGCATAGAAAACGTATCAAAAACTATTGGGGTAGAATTTAGGGAATAAAAATGTTCCTTTCTTTAAGCCATGCAACTTGACATGCTATTTGCTTTTGGGATGAATGTAGCTTGGCAAATCTTAGTGGTTCAAGCAGTGATGCTACTTCTGGAATTACAGCACTAGCTGTCAGCTTCTTGGCTCTAACTTTCCCAGGTGAACATTTCTACCTCAACCTTCCATGTACTAACAAGGGCTGATCCCGCATAACTTCCCATATCAACAAAAATGTAAGAAAACAACAAACAAATCTTAGTTATCAAGGAAGATATTTTATTCTTCAACTGTAATTCTTGAATTGCTATTGCTTAATCAGGACCATTCAGTGGCAGTACCAACCCACTCAGTAGCCTGAGCAGTGGGAGCTGCAGACCAGTCTTCAGTGGCAGTCTGTGAACTCCAATCCTCTGAAAAAGACATAAAATCACACAGGCTTTGAAAACTATAAGCAACTTCCTCAATCTTCATTACCACATTTTGATGTGATTAGCAATTGAATTCCAAAATACAAATCTTGGAAATTATAAATATTTGCACAAAGATGAACAGAATCAAAACCATTTCAATTAAGTACAAAACAATGCAGGAACAGAGAATTCTGGAGAATTTCAAATGGCCCACTTTCATGTGAATCAAGCTGTTCTAAGGGATGACTTTAATTTACAGACATAAACCCCATGAATTGGAAGAATTTAATTCAAGTAAGTGCCAAACTGCTTCCTGTTCCAAACAGCATAGTATAGATGTTTGGTATGGTCTTCAGGGAAAGAGGATATTCCACAAATCCTTGGAACAGTGTGCTCCTGTTATCAGTTAATGTAAAATATTTCTAGTAGTTAACTTCAATGGATAAGGCAATCTAATTCAGCTTCCCCTTTTTAACTCCTCTTTCAGCAAATAAGTGTCTCCTCCTCCCACCCCAAAAAATGTAGAGGCAAATTGCCTTGTTGCACATTTTAGATTAAAGTATTACTTCTGAAACAGTAAAACCTGTGCTACACCGAGTAGCAATTTGAAATTAAAATTTCCAGTACAATATAACTGGAAGCATTTAAAAAGCTATCTAGAGGCAACTGGAAAGGGAGAATAAAGAAAGGTACCTGAATAGATTAATGGGGAATGAGAATGGATGTCTGAGCTATGTGTGTACGTTTTAGATACTGGCTCCTTACCCACTTATTTCTCAAACTTTGCATTTCTTGAATCTACCACCTCCTCAAAATGGAATTGGTTGATCAATTGTGAAAAAAACCTTATCATAACTTAAATTACTGTGTATGATACATTGCCACTTAACATTCTTTTCAATTACATTCTACTTACCAGTGGGGTAAGGCTGTATTGGGACAGAAGGCACTTGTACCCCTTCAGACCAGTCAGACACTTCAGGTTGTGGAGGTGCAGTGAATTCAGGGGCAGGGGCTGTCCATTCACCCTGGAACTCCTCCTTGGTAACTGCCTTATCAGCTGCAGCCTGTTCTTCTTTTTCAATCTGAACAGGAGGCAAATCAAGTTACAATTATAAATTAAAGTTTTCTGGTTAGCATCAAAACCTTTCTGAGTCAAGTTTGAAAATGAGTGATTTAGTACAAACTTGTACTGTGTGCTGTGGATTTCTGTATTTAAGCGAAGTATTTCCTTGATGCATTTATTTTAATACTTCCTTTTTCAGGTTGTGTTACCAGACCACACATTATAGAAAACATAAGATCATATGACCAATGCAAAACCATTTATTTCAATAAGTAATTAATTATAAATCTAATCAAATATGTTACATTTTTACCTCTTCAGGATCTCGGTAGAAATAGAGATCAGGCATAACTTCCCATGGATGCTCACGGGAAATAGTGCCACGCATTCGTAGGACTTCCCGAGCCAACATCCACCACATCAGACCAACTGAGTGAGCCCCCTAAACATTTGTTAAATATTGATTAATTAGATTTTCAACACACTCATTTAAATTCATTAACTATTTAACTAAGTTTAAATAAAAGGATCACACTGTTAAACAATTCAGGAAGAAAACAAAATATAGCTTAATTGTCTTCAGCTAACAATTGACTATTCTTATAAATATGTAGCAAGAATCACTATCAAACCCCATTCATTGAACCCAAGTTCTTATGGTGTTAGCGAAAATACTTGCAGAAGATAATGTAGCACACTTCCTACACTCATAAGTTCTTTGGATAGAAACCATCCTCAGCTCTGAGTTCTAACAAGCGTGCATATATTTCCTTCCTTCCCAAAATGTTTAAATCCTGAAGAAAAAAAATATATATCAGACCTACTTTAAAATGTTTTGCACAACCACAGCTAGATATGCTTTTTGACAAAACCCTAAATGTACTAGATGTCACAGTACCTTATTGTTGCAGGGAATAGCAATATCCACATAACGTAGGGGAGAATCTGTATTGCACAAGGCAATGGTGGGAATGTTTACATAAGATGCTTCAGTCAGTGGCTGATGATCAGCTCTTGGATCAGTGACCACCAAAAGGCGGGGTTCACGAAAAGCAGCCTGGATCTGATTGGTAAATGTGCCAGGAGTGAACCGGCCAGCAATTGGAGTTGCACCAGTAGCTGCAGCAAATTTCAAAACAGCACGCTACATGGGGTAATAAAAGAAATGATAAAATGGATTATGTTTCTAGTGAACATTCCCCAAAATCAATAAAGAAATTCTTAATTTTGCAAATATAAGCAGGACTGAATTGGAGAGTCATTTTGA